GACATTTTAAATTGATAATATGACAAATGTTAACAATAAAATGAAATTTTGTATAATTTCATGCGAATGAAGTCACACAGGAACAGCTAGTGTTTTTATATGGGTTCAGAAGTGGTAATGCACTGTGAGTCCGTAATTATTTTTTTGTACATCAAAAAATGTATATTTTGACTTTAATATGTACAAATACAAACAGTTAATTAGAAATTAATTCAAAATACTGTAAAATTCATACAAAGATACTGGCATCAAAATGCAAGGCTCAGAGCACAGCGAACTTTTCATAAAACTTTCATAAGCTCTTTATAATCCAGCAAGACGCTCCTCCACTGTGAACTTAAAAGCACAGAATGCAAGCTTCTTTATAATAGACTTTAACTTGCTTATTTTAAATAATATTTTCTATTAACATTATAAAAACCTTGAAACTCGGAGATTCACGTAATGACTGAAAATTCTTTTTATAACTTTCTATGCATACACGTCTTAGAGAGATACTTTTTAACTAGTATAAAAACACTAGCTGTTCGCGTGTGGCTTCATCCGCGTGAAAATATAAAAACTTTATTTTATTGTTTACATTTGTCGAATTCTCAATCAGAAAAGTCAAGATTTAAATGCACAAATGACAATGACAACCATGGCAAACTTGCTTTCTTGATGTTAGTAGCTTGTAGTTTATGGTCCCTTTCTCACATGATGGATTTTTCCAATTCATTTAGCCCTTAAGTTAAATAGCGTGAAAATATATAGTCTAAATGGTTTGGGATTTTTTATTAAAGTAAGAATTCTTAAAAAGTAATGTGTGTTTACGCTTTGTTATATTATATAAGAGTTATCCATGAATACTTTTGAATAAGGAATGTACACAGTGTACAATATATGCAAGTATCTGTAAATATCACACGTGAAACCAATCACATCATATCATGCGCAAAACTATAATAGTTATATAACTACTGAGATCAACCGACTGTTTAGAGTTTCACAACCATTTCATTTGACGCTGCTCCGGACAAACGTAACTAGATAACTGAGACAAAGAACACGTTGCCATAGCAACGATCGGAGACAGATTGTGCGGTCTGGACGCTGGAAGCCATTCCAGATGCAGATAAGGGCTTCAGTGGACGCCACTTTAATAGAAAAAATGTTATTTCGAGTGGTTATGAAATTGTTTTACTAAAGTGTCTTGTAAAATTTTAAATTATGCTTAATTAAAAATCATTTTTCCCCAAAAATAATTGTCAAAATATTACCCGCTGACTAAAGTTGTTTAAAATTTTAATAATTTTGTTTCGTTTGGTTTCTTATAGTGAATATAAATTGAGGATCTCAACGTTTAATTAACGACTTGATGTGACTTGCTTCAATCGTCTTTTGACGTAAAAAAAACTAAAAACGCTGGGACTTTCCAAAAGATTTAAAATACACAAAGCTCAGGCTATTTTATCTAACGCCAATCATAATATTTATCAAAGAATTCTAGTAAAAATGGAGTAAGATATTTTTGTTCGTTTTTATTAATTACTCAGAGCGGAGAGGAAAACCTATTTGGAGCATTCATAAGTTAATGAAGTGCGACGAGAGACGAGACTCGAGAAGTTTTTGCACTGGAGTTAAATTAGTTCATAGCGAAGCTACGCGAATGTCGCTTCTTAATTACTACCGAGCCTTACTCTTATCTTTGCATGTGAACAATTAATTATATTTCATAATTAATTCTCTCATAATAGCCTAATAACCGTAATGACAAAGTTTTATTAATTATAATTACGTTCACGGGGTTACTCTCCTCTAATTTTAATAGCGTTATTTTAGGAAACTTTTAAACGAACACAATTTGAATATTTATTTTGTTGAAATTAACTTTGTTAAGGTACAAATTACTTTTATTAAAACATATATAGGAAATTTAGTCGTATACAATCGTACTTTAAATTCCAATACAAGGCTATTGTAAATATTTCGCTTTATATTTGGACTATTCATTGCTCGCGTATTCTCGCTACATCCATTTACGTTGCTTCCATTTGTAATTAGAGTTTTAGTTACAGTTCATTATTCGCTGTCAGTTTTGTAATATCTGTTCTTTCCGATTGGATTCATCTTTTTCATCTGGTTCAATGTTTAAATAATAGATTTTACTTTTTTGTTTTTTTATTTTAATTTCCACTTAATAAATTTTTAACGCTGGATTTAAATCCGTTAGTTGTGAACTTCAGGATAAACAGGCTTTGGACGAGACATGACGGACCTTTTTTGGTATCGGGGAAAATCTAAAAACCCCCTCGCTGGCCGCCCTCACGTGCGATTTGAGGGTCTTGGGACCTCCAGTGCAACGCACCGGTACCCTCTGCATGAGCTTTTGCTCTATCCCCGGGGAATTTTTTCCCAAATGGCAACATTGGACTCACGGACCTAACGGACGAAGTCCGCAGCACGGTGTTAAAAGCCTATAAGTAAAATAATTTGTAAATATCTGCTCTTTATGGTTTTTCATTTTCTTTATTTGTATGTTTATATTTATATGGCTTAGCTATTTTGTATAAGGTATTATGGGACTGACATGTCCTAAGAAAAAATAAAGAGAAAAAAAACGATTGTCACTATGATATTTATGGTAAACTCGTAACTTTGTTTATTACTAAGTTAATAGTATTTAATTTTTTTATACATGCTTCTAAGTAGCAAAAGTTTCGTTATGTATAACAACTTAAGTACTTAAGTAATACTTAACTTAATGCTGAGTAACACGGAAAAATATTTTCCACTATCATACTTTCTCTCAGTATTAAGTTCTGCTGACATAGTAAAGTACAGACCTAAGTACGTTCGTTTAAGTAAACGGCCGCCAGACGTCTGCTTAGTGTCTTCTAAGTTAAAGTTACTACCTCTAGCTTTCTTTTACAGTTACTGCGGCTTTATTTGTAACTTAGTACAAGGTACACATGCATATTTTACTTATCTATCTATACTAATATTATAAAGAGGAAAGATTTGTATTTTTGTATGTATTGAAATAAATTAAAAATTAATCTACTTGGCTTTCAGAAATTCTTGCTCCATTAAAAATCTACGATATTAGTGAGTAACAAAGGCTATATACTATGTTTTAATTTCCACGCGGACGAAGTCAGGTGCAACAGCTAGTTTATTGTATATTATTCGTTTTTTATTTCACAAAGTAGTATATTTTTAAATGGCAAAGTCAGTTAATAAAGTGTAGGTTACTTGAAAATTTCTCTTTGCAAAACATGACTTGTTACATTTCAACAAAAAGCATCTCGCAAAGGATTCAAAGATAAACTAGGATGTTCTTATTTATGTTTCTGTCAGTTAATTGCGAATGTTTTAATGACGTTAATTAATGTTACTTAATTAAAAATTCCTCAAATACTTACTAGAGTTTTACATTTATGTTTTATGTCAGTGAGTTTCGAAACTTTAAATGCTTACTTCTATAAATACTAACATACAATTTCATTATCTATTTATTTTATTTTTTTATATTTAAATTAACCGTAACTTTTAAATTTATTAATAATCTAGCTTACATCGGCAAATCCGTCAGCGTGGAATTAAAAAAAAGCAAAATTAGGTACCCTGTGTATTCTTCCAGAATATCTTCTACATCTATACCAAATTTCATAGAAATCCGTTGAGCTATTTAGGCTAAAAACTCTAACAAGCATCCATCCATTCATCTAAACTTTCGCATTTATAATATTAGTATGATATCGAATTACTCAAAATAGCGTTAAACTTCACGTCGAAGATTCTCTATTTTGTAACTGAATAGGACTTATTCAAACAAGTTTTTGTAATTGTGAATACGAAAGATGAAATTTTCGGATTCCTGGTAAAGGAGGTCAATTGAAACTTAAGTAAATAATTTCGCGAAATTAATTAATAAGAAATGTGCTTAGATTTGATACTAGCGACTTCAAAGGTTTTATATTCCTAGAACTTTATATCGGGATAGCAGCTGGAAATGGAAAATTGAAAGGAAACGAATTAATTAGAAGAAGGGTAAAAGACAAGAAACCATTAAAGATACTGAAATTATTACTTAGAGACTCAAGAAATTGTCAATGATGTATTAAAATGTCAGGACTACAAAATATATGTAAAAAAGTTAAAAAGGAGCCGTTGCATTTAAAAATTAAAGGTCACACGTAGGTTTAGGCTAAGCGCCATCTGCGCTCGGCCGGTGAAACTGTATATGCCTCTTCAATGCAAGTGGCCATGCAGTCACAAAAAAAAAACGATCACACGGCGAAATAACTAAATGGTAAGAAAGAAAGATTTAATAGATTTCCAATTGACACAACTTTTGAGTAGGAGCACACCTTTGACTAGACTATTACACACCTGATGTGCGATTGTCGATTGTTTCGCAACCAATTCAACAATTATTGCACAATTATAAATCGAAGCGAGACGAAACAGTTGTGCGATAGTTTCCTTTCAGGTGTGCGCACGACTCTACTAGTATTTATGCTTGTTCACTGCTGTTATAAAAATATAGGGTTGATTAAACAAGAGGTTATGAGAACTGTCAACTGACAGGATTTGTTCGCAGTTGGCGCTTTTAATTTGGAGCTTGAAACAGACCGCGCGACACGAGTTTTGCTCAATCAGAGTTTTGACAGTTTCCATCGGACCTACGATATGCTTTTGTTGCTAAACTATTCCTTTTTATGCATAACAAAGTTTGATAAAACATGAAAAAAATGATGTCTGTGATCTAAATAAATAAGACGACACAGAATATATGTTTAAAATTATATTATTTTTATCAAGAACAAATTATTCTTGTAGAGGCTTCTTTCGTTTTAAATTCTTGAAAATTTTCCATTAATAATGATTATATTAATTTGCTTGTTATATTTGTATTCCAAGAACAGCAAAATAACTTACGTACGTGTAGGAGTACAAATTTATAGAGAAAGTTATTAAATTACTTGTAAGAGAGTAAATAAATTATCTAATCAAATACACGAGAAATTATAAAATAAAAATGAATGATTGAAAACTTTAACATTAATAAATATTGTATCGATACTGAAATATTTAACAAATTTTATAAATATTTCATCATTTGGGACGTTTTAATATTGAATGTATATAATTTCTACTGCAGTGGGTATTTTGTAAGCCTTTGAAAGCCCAACGGGTGTTCAATGCTCGCTAATTGATTAATACTCTACTATGCTCGATACTACCAATCTACAGGACTGTAATTACCCAAACTGTTGCTTACATTATACAAGTCTGTCATTGACGATACAGCACAGTCCGGTGAGACAGAATTAATAGGCTATTTCTTTATGTAAAAACGCTTAGCAATTATCACTGCAAGGAAATTTAGATATTAAATAATAACAGGCGCTTATAATATTAAAGCAAAACAAAACACATCATAAATATGAGAAATCTTATAAAAATTTCCACAAATATTTCATGTAGCGTAACATGTTTGCTTTGCCGGGCAAAGCTGGTTATAATGAAGTCGTCGAGAGTCGGGAGATTTGACGTTATACGTTCTCTGTTTTATAGAGGGGCTTCGGACGTGGTTAGCAATATCTTACCCGGTTAAACCCTCCTTGTGTTATATCCCCCACTAATATCTAGCGACAAATTACCATACCGTAAACTAACAACGCTTATTCAGCGTTAGACAAACATATTTTAATATTGACTGTTGTATATAGATCGTTTATGTTTGAGAGAAAACAGCCGTATAAATGTCGGGATGAGAACATCTTATTGTACGGCATTAGATTATAAAGGTTTTTAAAGTACCATGACATACATTGTATTGTTAAGTAAGCATTTTAATATAAAATTTTATAATCGTTTGTAGCATATAAAAAGTTTAATGAAATTTAACACAAACACAAACCGCACGATCCATGTTCCGAAAGCTTAAAGTAATGTTTTTGACACTTTCCCTGCCACCGACAATTTTGGTATTCAATTTAATGTTTTAAACTGTATTAACATTTTTATTTTTTTAATTACGTTGCATTTTCTAGAGAATTATACTCCTACACTAATTGTAAACAGAAAAGGAAAAGAGCAAATTCTGTAATAGCTGAACTTATTTAAAAAAAAATAGTTTCCATTAGTAAGCTAAATTTTGACTGAGATGACCGATGATAGAGTGCTTTGGAAGACGAAAACCCGTTGCATAAGGCAGGGGAGATGACGATAGTAAGCTAAATTTTCACTGAGTTACATTTATAACTATTTTTTTAATTCAGCGAAAGCGACAGCTAGTGATGTATGAATTCAATTAATACCTTAGAAAGTTGGTCTTAATGAAAAATACAGGTTAAGATATGGTGTAATCAACTAATGTTAACTTAACAATGTAAGAATATTGCTTGCGCTTGCGATAGTTGGTAATATTTTCTCAGACTTTATTCCACCTTTAACCGTCTCCTTGGCTATTTTATCGTCTCGATTTTCCGTAACAAACGGGATTTGCGGACCAATGCTACCGACAAATTGATTTCATTAACTATTGACTGGAATAAAACCTTTGTTTTATCACGATCAAGTTTAATAAGAATGTATCGAAGCAAAATAAACTTTCGTGTTATTTTTCAATGCTTTTACCACTAATGTAACAAAATTGCAGTTGAAAGCGCATTGAATCGACTTTGACACTTTTAAAACCTCGAAATAGAGACTATTAAGTTTCAAAACCACATATTGTAGAATTTCAAACGAATTTTGACGTAGTTGCCCTTTACCTGACCTTGAAAACAATTAATAGAATACATTTCTTATGTTTAATTGTAAAGTAAAGTATGTAAATTAATTTTATTACTCAGGTGACGGGTGTGGTCGGCCGAGCAGAAATGCTGTCGTCCGTGTTCTTCCTGGGGGCGTTGCTGTGCTACGCCCGAGCTGCCAGCAGAAGACGATATACAGGTAAAGTCAAGAAGATATTAAAATATTTTTTAAATTAGTGTTATCGAAATTATAAATGTAACAATCCTTTCAGTTACACTCGGTTTGAAACATTTTTATGCGAGTGTATATTCAATAACCTTTTACCAATAAACTTTTTAAGACTCGAATTTTAATATAAATTCAAACAATTAATTAATAATTTCATTAAAATAAGCAAACGGGTTGTAAAGTTACGTCAAACACCTGAATTCCATCAAATTTTCGAGCGTAGCACAAACGAAAAACCTTTCGAAAGTTGGAGTTTGTGTTTGCCGCACACTGGCGCCATCTATCTCAGTAACGAGCACATAATCTCGTTGAATCGCATGTACGAATGTTTGCAGTTCGCTTTTAACTTGTATTTTCCCTTCAAAGGAACGCGAGATGGGCTTCAAAAATTCGCGGTCGAGAGTTCGGATTCAATTAGAGAGGCTCTTTTCAAACCGGCAAATAATTGGGATTCCTGCAATTTTAGGATCGTATTACACTGTTTTTGGAATTCTATTTTCATTTATTTATTCCCCTTTTTCTAAGAAGTTCTTTTATACAATCCAATAAAACAGAATTTGAACTTTTATTAAAAACCACAACGTTTTACCACCACATATATTTATGAGAAAGATTAAAAGTATTATAATTGATAATAAGCAAAAACTCTATTAATATTTAAATAATCCAGCTAGCCTGTCTGTTTAGATAAAAACCCTACATATTGTTCTATTTATGACCAGAAAAGGAATCCAAATTATGGATCAGAAAAGGAATATAAGAAAAAATTTACCTTCCAAGAAAGGTCTGTAATTAAATACACATTTACTGCATCAATTGTGACTGAATATAGTTTCCTTTATCGAGTAATTAGCGTTTAGGTTAATTAATGCTTGATTAAAATACAATGAACACCCTATACATTAGCTCAGGTCATTTGTAAAGCAGCCCGGTCGACTTAAATAGGGACGTTAGTTTGACGAACACTGCCTTAAACTGATATTTAGGTCGACGATTATTAGATAGCGAGATCCGAGTTTGTTTAATTATATACTCAGAACTTAGAACTGTCATATTAAAGGTTTAGTAATGAAAATGATGGAACAATTTGATTTTGATTGGTTAACTAACCCTATCTTGTAAGATACCATCGGTAGTAACCGATGGTATAGGAGCTAGAAAGAGAGAGAGAACTCACCTAATTTTACGTTTTTCTTCTTTTTTAATTGTTAAGTTCTCATGAGACATTATAACAATGACTCATGTAATCGTTATTACTACATGTGAAGTTTAATTAGCAATTATATCCAAACAATAGAATTGACAAATAGCACAGCAACTAGCATCTGTTTCGCTGATTTACTGTGGTGCAAAACTAAGCGAAGTTTCAGTCTCAACAACTGTTCGCACGTTACTGGGTACACATTGTTAATCACTTCTAGCTACAACTATGGAGCTATTTCATAAGACCAACGAGCAAAGATACCATATCATTTAATGGTACTACCGTTAACTCCCTCTTAAACTAATTTGTTTTTTGACCCACGTTGATAGAAACAGTAAGCTATTGTTTTATCAATAGCCAGAAAATAACAATTGACTTTAATTAATCTATGATCATTCTTAACCAGCTTTTAATTTGTATTTAAAACAACTTATGCAAATATCAAAAAGTGATTTGAAGCAGTTAATTTTCTTCCATACGTAACTTCTAAATAAAAAAAAGATAAATAATAAAAAAAGAGATAGATAGATAAATAGCAAATCCCTTTTCTAACATGACTGGTTTCTTCTACACACACAACTTACGGACTGTCAATTTCATTGAGGTCTTCTGTGGGCACAAAATGTTTACCTAAATCACTGTTTAATTTTCCAGATTGGCGGTATTTGGTTGCGTGCACGGGTTGTGTGGGTGTCGCCATGCTGTGCAAGGAACAAGGCATCACAGTAACCGCTGTTTGCGTCGTCTACGAACTCTTTGTGGCGCAAAAGGTTTGTATCTATGGATTTCTACTGCCTTGGAATATTGAAATCTTAGACAGTATCGTTCTGTAAAAATTACATGAAAAACATTCAGTACGTTATAAAACAATTTTACATTCGAGGAAATCCACGGTAGTCCAATAACAGAATTGCATTTTAACGAGACAAACTCCGCCTATCACAATTGTCCATAAGAATAATAAAAATTTATTAACCAGTACCTCGAACCAACCTTTTCATACATGTTCATTTAAAAGCATCCTATTGGTCGTCATCCCAATACGTATAAATGTTAAAGCGACTGTTGCTCTTAAGGTAGAATACCGCTAGATTCCTCGATCGTACATTATATTTATTAAGTTAACAGCATTGCCTTTGAAATCTGGTCACTTTGATGTCAATGTCCGAGTCTGTGGCAGGGGTCCCGATGTCAAAGACAAAGGCTTTTTAGCGCTCGCAGCTCGTGTCCCGTGCCCTTTGTTGTATATAATTCTATCCGGTACATTATATGAAACTAAGGTCAATAAAAACATCACAATCAACATAACTCTACGAAATTCAAAAAATAGTATAATAATAATAATAATAATTGATTTACGCCTTATGTGATTAGAATGTTCGTTTGTTCATGCATTTATTATAATTTTCTTCAATTGTCATCAACTCGAATGTCCTTACTGAGGCGCTCAAGCCTACTCAAGTGGATTTTCCTTCAGATGCACCAAATGTCTATGGATAACGACAATTTAACACCAGACCAGAACACTCCTTTGCCATTTGATATAAAAACTAATATCTATTATTAATATTTCAGCGCCGCGGCTTAGTGCTAAGTGGTCGGTCGTGGCTGGAAGCCTGGGGTAAAGCAGGCTGGGGCTGTGGATGCGGTGAAGCGGCGCGTAGAGTTGCTACCGTATGCTGTGCGACCCTGGCCCTGTTAGCAGCTCGCCTGCACGTAATGGGCGCACAGCTGCCTGTTTTCACCAGATTTGATAACCCGGCGGGAGCTGCGCCGCCACCCGCTAGGTAAGCATACCAATGAATATGTAGAAGAGTCCTTTAATTATTCCTCAAGCAGTAAATTTAGCTTTGTCTTCCTTGAACAAAGTTGTTAGCTTAGTTAGATAACCTTAGTTGGTGTGACAATAATTGGTAAAGCCAGTACTTTTGTAGCCTTTTAAATGGGTAACATTTGCTCGTGTATTTCAGACATTTAACGTTCGCGTACTTACCCGCACTGAACGCGTGGCTGCTAACGCTGCCCGAGGCCCTGTGTTGCGACTGGACCATGGGCACAGTAGCATTATTGCGGTCCTGGAGAGATCCTCGCAACATGGCCACCGTCGCGCTGGCTGCACTCCTTATAGCAGCCGCGGTACATGCTCTCAGGACACGGTCTTCTGCATTGTCTATGGTAAATATTGTATATAGGACACAAAATATCTACGATATGCTGAGAAGTGTTTGTGACTTTCGTTACAAAAAATATAGTTACATGAGACACTTTAGATGATTTGCTAGTGTGATATAAAATATAGTAGACGGTGATAAAAATATAATAAAACAATAAATCAGTCAGCATTGTTTACTATCAAATGAATCGTATGTTTTCAGGGTCTCGCACTACTAGTGCTGCCATTCCTGCCAGCATCGAACCTGTTCTTCCCCGTGGGGTTCGTAGTGGCGGAGCGAGTGCTATACATGCCGTCGATGGGCTGGTGCCTGCTGGTGGCGCACGGCTGGCGGCTGCTGGCGCGCAGAAGAGCTACCGTCGCTGCAGGAGCACTCATCTTCCTGCTACTCGCCTTCAGCGCCAAGACCTATGTCAGGAATTGGGACTGGAAGACTGAATATTCAATTTTTGCGTCCGGACTTAAAGTGAGTTTGGGTTTATTTTATTTCACATCTCCACAACTGATTTTTTAAGTAATCCAATTTCTAGAAGATTCTAGACTTAAAGGATCTTTGAAATAGTCTTGTAAACTGTTAGTCTTATTTAAATATCTGATTTTTAGGTGAATCGTAACAACGCGAAGCTATACAATAACGTGGGCCACGCGCTTGAAGCTGAGGGCAAATATGCAGAAGCATTGGAGTTCTTCAACACAGCAGTGAGCGTGCAGCCGGACGATGTCGGGGCGCATATTAATGTAGGCAGGACATACAATCACCTCGGACGATACCAGGAGGCGGAGGAAGCCTACGTGAAAGCCAAATCCTTACTCCCTAAAGCGAAACCAGGAGAATCCTACCAAGCTAGAATAGCTCCAAACCATCTCAACGTATTCCTAAATCTAGCCAATTTGATATCTAAGAATGCGACCAGACTAGAAGAAGCCGATATGTTGTACCGACAAGCGATCAGTATGAGAGCTGATTACACGCAGGCCTACATAAATAGAGGGGATATTCTTATCAAATTGAATCGCACGAAAGAAGCACAAGAGGTTTATGAAAGAGCATTGTTATATGACAGTGGGAATCCTGACATCTATTACAATGTAAGTATTAAGAATAACTTTTACCAATAACTTCCGCGCGTAATTAAAGAAGAAAATTAGTAATAACTATAGCTTTAGCTTGATAATGAAGCTTTCTAGTGGAAATAGAATATTTTAAATCAAACAAGTAGCTTATAAGTTTGTACTTGATATACAAAAAAAAACAAATGTTTGCTTTTTATGAAATTAGTGTAGATTATATTTCCGATAAATGTTTGCTGATTGTATTTGAAACTTTGATTTACAGGTAATAATATCTCAAAATCACTTAAGCATTAAAAATAGTTTTATATTCATCATTGAATGCACTCAAAGTCTCAAAAAATCTTTGACACCTACATACATGATAGATTTTACTTATGTCAATAATGACGTGTTTTTCTTTGGTATTAACGTATTATGACGTTACTTTGTGCAGCTGGGCGTGGTACTGCTGGAGCAGGGCAAGGCGTCTCAGGCGCTGGCGTATCTGGACAAGGCTCTGGAGCTGGAACCGGAGCACGAGCAGGCGCTGCTCAACTCCGCCATCCTGCTGCAGGAGCTGGGCGCGGCAGACCTGCGGCATCTGGCCAGACAGCGGCTACTCAAACTGCTAGATAAAGATGGTATGTAGCAATCGTAGGTGCGCCTTACGCCCTAGAACTGGCCTAGATAATAGCTACCTATGCTTTTACTAACGATAGCGCGGATAGGCTTAAAAAATCACATTTATCTCATCTACACATACAGGAACGGAATACGTTAGAAAAATAGAGCGATAATTGATATGAGAGCTTCCTTTAACTTTATCTTAGATGAGAGAAAGGATTTCGTATATGAGGATCTCAAAATTGTTACAGCGACGAACGAGCGCGTGCACTTCAACCTGGGCATGGTGTGTATGGACGAGGGCGACGCGACGTGCGCCGAGCGCTGGTTCCGCGCCGCCGTGCGCCTCAAGCCCGACTTCCGCTCCGCGCTCTTCAACCTGGCGCTGCTGCTGGCCGACCGCC